TAATATGGTGACAAATGAGATAATATGATTATAATATTCACTAAAAGTTCACTTTATGAAAGTGAGAAGTGATAAGCATTAATGAATGATTAAAATCAAGAGTAACATGCCATAAATCATTTGATTAAGTGTGCCTTTAAAGAGATGCAATAGGATATTCTTTTTAACAATAAACTTGTTTAGTAAACAAGTGTGAGTTTGAAATGTAATTTTCAAATCAAATGTAAGTTGGTAAACTTAAAGGAAGATAATTTATAACCAAAGGTTATAATACAAAGAAAGATATAGGCTACCGAAAATCTATTTTTTTTTATTCAGATTTTTCTATAGGAGATATGATTTCTAAGCTAGAAACTTGAAAGTGGAAGCACGAAAATGTTGTCTTTAATAATGAGGTGGATGAGGACATATATTCATCAAGTGGAAAAGGAATGTTCAAGACAAAAAGATAAGGTAAGACTTATAAAGGGCTAAAATCAAAGTCATCATTTTATGAGGTATGTTCATTTCAAAAAGATAGATTACGAATATATTATTATACAACTAAGTTGGGAATTGGATAAAATAAGTTCCAAATTCACAAGTGATTGATTGTTTGTTTTAATTGATGATAGCACTTTAGATGGTGGAGACTAAATTGTGTTTCACAAAGTCAAAAGGTTGTTATAAGAAACAATCTTGTGAGATATTATCATGTATAAAATCTGAGCTCAGTGATGTTTTATAAATTGGTTTAAAAGATTTCTTAAAAGGTACAATTTTTTATTGAGAGAACCAAATAACCAAGCGCTTGTATAAATAGCAAACACATTACTATGGGAGAAACAATAATATATTCTAAAAGGTAAAACACTTCCTATAAGTGGATCCACATAAACTAAACCCTTGATGGGTGATAAGATATTATGAGAGATATGAGACTGTTACTAGTTAGAGGTAATCTTGATTGATTCCTATTTTGTCTTAGTATTGCCACTTAGGAAATTAATCCTTTTAAAGAAAAGGATATTCTCTTTATGGGGAAATATTATGAATGAGAGTTAAAGGTTTTTAATCTTGAATTATCCAAGAAATTCATATATGAGATATATGGAATTCCCTATGCATCATTCTTCAAATAGTAGGGATAAAATTCCTTTATAAAATCTCATATCTAGATGCAATGTTGTCCACAACAAATGGTTGGACATATGCCCATACTTATTTGAGTAGAGTATTAAGTAAAAAAAAAAGGTTGTTTAAACATTCTAAATAAGTCTTCCTATGCAAGTAGAGAAGTAAGAAGTCGTTTTTTATGGATTTTATGTTTAATCCTAGAATACTTACTACCACAAGATAAAACGAAAGCCCATTAATGCACTACCTTTTGTAAAACTCACAAACCAATGTAAGGTGTGAATATGTTTCAGTGTGTCTCATATTCAATTTAAAGGTTTGTTCAATTCTTGGACCACCTTTAGACATACACTTTATGTAATAATCAAATTACATTTTCTTTAAGTTTGCATAAGTATTTACATTTTTTGGTATAAATGAAGGATTGTTGTATATATTACCAAAGAAGTGTCTTTTAAAATCATATTAGTGTTAAATTTGTTTTATAATCATATAGTATGCATATTTGTTGAAGAATGAATGTTTGAAAATGTTGAAATAGGCTTTTGGATTAGTAGACTTTTTTTTTTTTTTGGGAGTCGATTGCCTGGTGCCAAAATGCATTATGATAAGAATTTGACCTTAGGCAATTGAATGCCCTGATAGGGCAGTCAAATGTCCAAGAAGGATTTTCCTTTTATTTGAAAATATAACTAAGGAAGTCAACTACCCATTTTAGGCATTCAATCGCACTTCCTGAAAATTTGAAAAATATATCCATTGGACGTGGTGTTTCATTCTAAAAGTGGTGATTCTTCATAAAAGAGATATCTGTTGATGAAACGGTGTCTTAAGCACTAGTTTAGGCTTATAAATACTTTCATTAATTTGGGCTTATAAATTCTTTCATTAATTTTAATTTTGTTGCCATAACTATACCCATATATAACATGTTTCCATACTTCAAATGTCGTTTGTAGACTTTCTTTTAGAAGTAATGGTGTCAACAGTGTTGATTACTTGGTATTTATTTGTATTTTTCATCAAATTGTATCTTAACATATTTAACGAGTAATACAATGTCATACACAATCTAGACTTCATTTAGATGCAACCGGACCTCCAGTGGATGGTTGTAGATCCAATTGCCATCCATTTTTGTGCCCACTGTTCGATGGACACCCAAATAGGTGGATGGAAAGGTAAAGGCCAATCACCGACTGATCATTTTTGGTCTAATGAGTATTGATGAATTTTATTAGTTTTTTTTTTCCATTTGTGCTAACCAAAGTCCTATTCTAATACCAATTGAACCAATGCCTTTTATTTTGATTTTCTATGTTTTTTACTAGAATATTTTGATTTTTTATTTAAAAATCATAAACATAACTTTATTAATTTAATATAATAAATAATTTTTATTATATAATACATTAATAAATAACTAAATAAATATTATTATTTATTAACAAGTTTTATTATTTCTTAATAAATTTTATATAATAAGTAAATTTTATTTTTAATAAATATTATGACTTTAGCTTCTTGGACTAATGGTTAATAAGTCCCAAAAAGACATGTGAGGTGTGATTTTGAACCCCACCATCCCTAACCCCTATCAATGAACTAAAAAATTTATATATAAATAAATTTTGTAAATATTGTATAATTTAACATTTTATTATTATATTCAAATTTTAATTTAATATCCTTAATAACCATTTCTTTTCTTATTATAATTCAACACACCGTTACTATTGTGTTTTCATCCAAATACATATATCAACCACTAATTTAAGGAAGTTATCACCTATAATTTTCTTACTATAATCCTACAATTGTCCAATTATAATAAAAAATTATGTAAAGTCCATCATTTATAAGTATAAGTTCCATATAAAATTTTGATGAATCCACATAATTTTAAATTATAATTAATTAATTATATTATAATATTATAAATAAAATATTTTTGTATTTTAATTTTACCGTTACAATAAATCAATAACTAATCTCATATTTATTATCATTTTTAATTTCATCAAAATTAAATTCACCATCATTCAAATGAACTCGTAACATTTTTTCTATTTAAATCTTTTTCTTCTCCTTACACTACAAGTAAGTCAACATTTATTAGTACTTCTGGCGGATTTGGCGTCACTTCTCATAGAAGCCTTCCGACATTTTGTTTACACGTTATCCATCTGACTCAAAAGAGAATTCGACATTTGAATTTTGTGTAAAATGGTATGAACCCATGTTGCTTTTTCATTTGGATTTTTGTTTATCATCTTGTCCCTTTTTCAAAATCTCACAATTTCTCTAACAACTGGACAAAATTATATGATACACAGCAGACTGCAGAGACAAGTGACAGCCCCTCCCAATCTCCTTAGACCCTAACGCAAAATTCTCCTTTTTTTTCTTCTTTTTTGGTTTTGGTACATAATCAATAAATAGAATACATATTGGACATTTAATTGGCAAATGAGAGATTTGCTAAATTGGTAAGTTTATCTACCTCGGATTCTCCATAGTGAGTAGTCCTGTTTAGGTATATCAATTTCAAATACAATAAAATGATACAATATGAAAGAAAACGTAAAAATTGTATAATTTAAAATTTTAATAAAAATTATTTATGAATTTTGATAAAAATAAAATATATATATATATATGTATATATTTTATTTTTAAAGTATCGGTGCAAATTTAACATATTAATTTTTTGCGTTCAATATGATACGAACAAAATATAAATATATGAATTATCAAATCTAATCATGTCTTTAAAGTTTAAATTTTACTTATAATTTTTCATCACTACTAATTCTTAATGCATAACTTTTATAGGATACAACACATGTTCTCTTCTTAGTGTTTAAGGGATGAATTGATAGGAGCATGTTATTGTACTTTAAGCTAAAGTATCTAGTATACAAAACGAAGTTTCATTTGCTAAAACACAACAAAATTAGGTATATGTCTAATTAATTCTGTCATAAACCCCAATGAGTGAAATTGCTTAGCTAAGTTCCCTCACTATCTAAGCTACACAACTCATTCTCCCAAATTCTCTTCTTTTCCTTTCTTTTCTTTTCTATTTCTCAAAAAAAAAAAAAAAACTGTTGAGGTGTTTTTAGACAGTAAGGATAAGGTCGGCAAGTAGCTTTTGAAAGAGGATTCATCTAATTTGTCAAAGAGAAAAATATATATATTAAAAATAGTTATGGAAGTTCAGATTTTGAGACACACTCTCATGATGAAATCAACAATTGTGTAAGGAAGAAAGTGGTAAAAAAGGAGTTAGTCTATCACATAATTAGCTAACACTGAGCATTTGATTCCATGTATTCTCTATTTGAACCATATGGTTCAAAATTCAAATCCCTAACCTCAAGTCAAAAGAAAAAACAAAATTATGGCATACTAACTCCACTCTTACCTTATCTTTTTAAGATCAACAAAAGCTGTTTTAAAGGGTTTAAATTCAGATTTTAGACAAACCTTGTAAATCTTACGTAAATTAGTTAATTTGTTTACACTCTACTTACCAATTTATGATCATTTTATTAAACTTCATGAATGATTCAGATCCAACGATTGTTGGCTCATGATTTAACTTGTGCTGTTAACTACTATCTAAACTCAAAACCCTTTTTTTTTTACAGTGAATTTTTAATGATATCAATTTGTACGATCACCTATAAAATTTAAAAATTTTATTGTATAAAATAATGATGTTTGATAAAAAAAATTAAATGATATTGATTTATCTAATCACCTTTGTGATATTTAAAAATTTCATCCATAAGGAATAATAATATTTTACAAAAATTAAAATCAACAAATATAGGAAGTCATAAAAGTATTCAAAGGAGAAGAAAAACACAAATGCCATTGAATTTGAATTCTGTTCATCTTAGTAAATTGCATTTGGAGGCTAAAATTTTGGACCTAAACATGGGAACTTATTAATGAAATGAATTTTTCTACGAAATTTTCAAGTTGGAGTTACGATACTTTAATTTTCACATTGAAAAACCTACCCATGCAAAATTTATACACAAAATGCAGCAAATTGAGAAGATCCAACCTTGTTTCTCATTTGTAATTTCTTCAATATTGCAAATTACGCTAACACCAAAATAGAGAAAAAGCTAAAAAAAAAAAAAAAACAACCCATGAAAATTCATAACAAAATACAAACATCCAAATTTTATTTCAATTTATTTTTTCAATTAATCAGAAGGAGAAGAAATAAAAATCCTAATATGATCCAAAAAACTGAGATTTTGAGGCCTATCATTTCTTTTCACATAACCTTTGGCTTCTTTCTCCGAATACATCCAAAGCCCTTTCCTACCATTTCTCTTCCACATCTCCTTCTCGTAACTCTTGTGCGCGTAATACGCCTCCGCCGTGCACGTTAACAACTCTTCATCGTTTTCTTTGTTCCCGCTTTCGTTACCGTTGCCGGCTGGCATCAGCTGGATCGGCAGCCGCTCGTAATGCCCGCTACTCGTGCCTTCCAGTTCGTCGACGCGGGCAAGTCCCCGAGACGACACGGCGTACAACTCGCCCGTGACTTGGTGCGCCGAACCGGGCATGTTGAGGAGGAATGGGACGCGGTAAGGCCCGCAAACGAGAGGGTATTTTTCCACGGTTCGATATGCTCCTTTGAATACGGCGTCTCCGGTTCGCATTAAATCTTGAAGAAGCACGTGATTGGAAAAACCCCGTTTCAAGGTACCGTAAGTGAAAATGAGGCTCGTACAGTTATTTTTTTCAACAACCATTTTTTTTTTTGTCTTTTCTGAAACGAATGGGTGTTTGGGTGTCGAGGTGATTGGTTGGCGAGAAAGCGAGGAAATATAAAAGGAGAAAGAGAGGATTGGGATATAGAAAGAGGTTTGGATTGCGGAGTTCTATTTATTGAAGGATTGCGTTTGTCTGGTGAGGAATTTTAACTGTAAAGAATCTCTGTAGCAGGAATTTACGAAGGGTGAAATCATGTAAACAGCATACGGTAAAATTTTTGGATCTTGATTAGAAATTTAGTTTGAATCTACTATCGATTGACAAAGATTTTATGTTTCTCCTAAAAAAAATTATTCTCTTTTTTTTTTTACCTTATCCAAATATATATTTTAAATCTTTTATTTGGATATTGATTTACAAATTAATAAATCGATTATGAATTTTTAGTTAAAAAGTAATTTGATTAAAATAAAGTGAAACATTAAAAGAAATTTCATTGCTAAATATCTAATTTTCGTCGCAAAAACTTATTACCGTTGGTATTAATTCGTCGAAGAAATGATGTCCCTAAAAGTGTTCGATCGCAATGAAAAATTCTGTCAGTCACTTTAAGCGATGAAATATTCCATTGTTAATCATTTTTAGTGGCGAAAAATTTTTTTGTGTGAAACACCTTTAACGGTGGACTTCCACCAGCAATTCATAAATTTTTTACGCTAGAAGTATTTAATACAAAAGATTTCCAAATTTTATTGCTAAAATGGTAGCAATAAGAAATTCATTGCTAATACCCTATTTTCCATCGATAAAACTTTTTAATTACAAGATTTTTGTGCAAAAGGATCAACTCCTTCCTCAAATGGATTGATCCGTTGAAAAGCCATCAGATCGATCCCTTTAACAAAAGTGATTCCTTTCGGCTTTTTGATAAAAAAGATCATTCTATGTCAAAATCTCTTTAAAATATATTAAAAATAAATCAAAAATATAATAAATAAAACTTTCATTTCATTGATTAACGAATGATATTCACAAAATTGTTACAATCTTTACAAAATTAAAGACGGACGAACGTGGTACCCGTAAAAAAAAATTAAATGATGAAAATGCTTTTAATTTAAGGCCATATGCTGCTTTCTATTCATTATTCACTACACAGAGTAGAAAGATTTCTGCAAATCTACCAATACTCTGCCCATTAATCCATATTTGACCTTTTCCCATACTTTCCATATCCAAAGCCGATCACTTAGAAGCCATAAATCATGCTGCAACTACTTGAACTTTCCATTTTTATTAACCTTATGCCATCTTAATGGCTGCTGTTTTTGTGCAGCCAATGACCCCCCCCCCCCCCCAATCCACTCAACAGAGGTAATACCATTTGGTGAGACAAAATTCATGGCCTCTCGGCCTCTCCTATAAGCCCAACCTGTTCAAGGAGGCATTCAAGGAGATACGTTATCAGCATATCAATACCCTCCAAGCACAGTCCATAATTTTCTACAATCACTTAACACAATAAATTGCATATTTATAAGGGACCTATGGAAAATTTTCAAAATTGATTGTTTGTCATCTTCTCTATCCAATGAGTTCTACGTAACAAAATAATAAAAACAAAAACAAAAAAAATCAAATCCTTCACTAAATTTCTGACGCATTGGCTAGGATCAAATCAATCTAGCATGCAACAAAAAAACACATATTTGTCCTACTTTTTGAGTCCCAAAATAAAGAACTTGCATAGTGGCATTAAGTAACCCAATTCATAAACAGGCAAAGTACCAAACTTGAAACACTAAAAACACAATCGGCTAACATAAGCATGGCAGAAACTTGAATTCCAAAATTAGGCCTTTAACAAAATAAAACAAAATTTTCTAAAAGAAACAATTTCATTTAGATTAACAATAACTCTCAGTTTCATTTGCACTTCACAAGTGGAATCAAGTTCAATCCTTTTAAACGTCAAATTGACCAGAAATAATGATACAGAGCAGCACCCCCCAGACCCAGAGAGGGCAAAGAGAGGAAGAAGACTACTCACATGAGAAACCCGTGTTTCCCTGCAAACTCAATGATTTAATTAACATTTTCTATTCTTAGACAAAGGCTTAGCTCCTTCAAAGTTTTAACTTTCAAAGAAATATAATTTTCTCATCCAATGAATAACGATAAGCAGATATCAACAATAATTTATCAGTGGATTGAGCCATACACATTCACAAGGAACGGTCAAGGATCGGATCCAAGCCGGTGCAAGGATGCTTCCGGCAGTCGGAGGGTACGACCGGGGTGAAGTCGACCGGTATCTCCGATTTTCTGGCGGAGGGTCGGGGAGATCGAGAGAAAAAGAATGAGAAGAATAGAGGGAAAGGATAAGAGAGAAGTAAAAACTTAGGGATTCAATCTAATTACTAATGCCTCCCCACATTTTTTTTTTTTTGGTAATGTCTGGCCAGCTAAAAAAATAAAACATTTAATATTTAAAGAAAATTTAATTAGCGATAGAATTTCGTTGCTAAAGGATCCTAAGTCGGTCGCTATTATAAAAAAATTCTTAAAAAATATTTTAAAGTAAAGGTTTAAAAACATTAGCGACGCTAATAAAAAAACAAAAATTCTAACTTTTTTTAAAATAAAAGGATTTAAGGATATCAGCAATGGAATTCCCGTCACTAAATTTATCAACATTTTTAGACTTTTTATGCATCAATTCGCAATGGAATTAACGATAGAATCTATTTTCATCTATAATTATTTATATTTGTCGAAAAAATTCCTTCAATAAATCCATAGCTAAACGTAAAAATATTTTGTTTAAATGCGTCACTATTCCATAAAAAATTCATAGGTATTAGAGTTTTTTAGCAACAAAAATTTTCTGCCGTACCGAATGGTTCCATTCATGTAGTGAAATGGCAAAAATCAATTCAAAATATTATAAAACTTTCTTCTTACATTTCTTAATTATTAAAAATAATGAGTTTTTAATATTTTTATACCATATTAGTCAAATTAAAATTATTGCCTTGATAATTGAAATATAATTTTTAGAGATTTTTGAGAACGAAATGATTACATATTATCCAATGTGAAATAGCCTAAACCAATTAATGATAGATTTAAATCCATTGAAAAAAAAAAAAGCATATCGTGGATGAAATGGTTGTTATCTGCTCTAATAACGAATTGTTGGTTTAATTGAATAATTAAATAAATAGATAACATTTCTCATCGTCTCAGGTGGTAGGATCTTCTCAATTGGAGGATCACCTATATGGATAATATATATTCTAGTTGATAAAGTCTAATTCTAATTGTTTTGTTCCAAAACAAGATATCCATATGGTACTTAAAAGTATAATTTTTATTAATAATAGTGAGATTTATTGGTAAAATGTTAAACTTTCAATTTCAATAATTAAAATTAAAATTTACCAACCTCAAATAAAAAAGGTAAAACTTTTCATAAGGATTAGTAAAAAAGGTTTCATGCGGAAGTTGCATTTCTCATTATATCAAATTAGATTCCATGTGCTAGAAATGAATATCTAAAGAACAATGAATTTGAAGGGAAACATATTAAAATTGAATACTTGAAGAAATTTTTTTTATGAAAAAGCAATTGCACAACTAATTTAAAGAAATTTTGGAAAAAAAATAAAACTAATTTAAAGAACTATCAGACTTATTACTATCCGTAAACATAATCCTTCCATGCAGGGACGGACTGTCCCTCAAGCCAAAGGAGGCCTTGGCCCCTTTAAAGTTTTTCCAACTCTTAAATATATATATATATATATTTATTTATTTATTTATTTATTGATCACAATATATTTAAATTGATCTTTTTTAAAATTAAATTAATACTATTATTTATTTATATTTATTATGAGATAAAAAACTTAATTTGTTATTATTGTATTTATTTATTTTGATTTCATAATTTAATTTAATGTATTGTAATTTAAGAAAAATTAAAATCATTTTACTATTTTTGTTTTTATTATACCCACCAATCACTATTTGCAAATCTTTAAAATCAAAAAATTCGTGGCCAATTTTAAATCACAATAAAATAAACTAACAAAAAGTCAAATTAATCTTTTATCTTTCTTACCAACACTACAAAATTTTGACCAAATACCAATTGCATTTTTTCTTTTTAACTTACAACAATTCCTCCTCCCCATGTAATTTATCACTTTCAATTTAATTTCATGTTGTTTCCTAATCTTTTTAAGATTAAAATCACATTATAGAAGATTTGATCATAACTTTGATTCTTAAAGTTCAATTTCATTTAAAAAAATAATTTCCCTCGTTTTGATAAAATTATATTATTTAATGATTGATATATTTTTAAATTTTAAATTATTAGAAAAATAAAAAATTTTCATAATTCATTAAAAAATTGTATAATTAGTAACTCTACCACTAAGTTGAAAGCATTTGTACTCTTTAAAATTTTAATATTTTCATAATAATATTTTTATTTTATAATTTTATGAGTTTGATACTTTTTATTATTAGTGTTAGCTCTAATGTATATAACAATATAAGAAGAACTTGAATTGGATTGTTTACAAATTCTTTTCTAAAATTAACTTTCAATGAATTTGAATGAGAAATTTAAAACAATAAAATCTTTGATGAAAATTTAATAAAATTAACAATAAAAAAGAAAATTAAAGCACATACACTACAAGGGAATAGGTTATTAGCAGCATTTATGCAAACAAATGTTGCTAAATTTAGTGGTATTTCTGTACATAAATATAGCTAATTTCTATAATGTAACAACGTTTTTACCCACAAATACCATTAAATGTAGGAAATTTATTTTTTTCGATTTGTTTCAATATTTACTATTATATTTAAATAAAAAATATTGAAAGAAATAAAAACAAATTTAAATTCATAAACTGAATTAAATATTTAAATATCTAAATATATGATTTGTTTTAATATGCATGTAAGATAAATTTTAATACAATAATATTCAAATTGTTTTAGTATATTAATTAAGATGTAATTTAAAATGTATGAACCACTTAAATTTGGAGTACTGCCATTTGATGAAGTATTGTTTTTGCTTTAGTGAAGTTTTGCTACTATAAATCACAAGCTAACTCAAATCTCAAACTAAAAACTGACAAAAAAAAAAACATAGTTAGTATTGTTACAAATTAATATTAAAAAATGACAATTTGAAAATAAACAAAAACATGTTCTCCCA